CCCCCCCCCACCCACACCAAAGTTGTAAAGTTCTTAACCTGTTTTTTTGGCAATCCTTTTTTTCCCAATATATGGTTTCAAAATTTTGGATTTGCCACTAAGCATCCAAAAGTTTGAACTCAGGACTTTCTGCTTACAGAGCAGGCACTCCTACCACTTGAGCCCCACTTCCAACTCAAAGATGTCTTAAGTGAATTCCAAGCTTATGCATAAGGCAGATCCAGATACTTCTCTCTGACAAGATTTTTGTTTTATAAATGCTATAATCCCTGGGCACCAGTGGCTCATGCCTGTAAATTCTAGCAACTCAGAAGGCTGAGATCTGAGGTGTGAACGTCCAATTAGCCACCAAAAAGTAGGAAGTAGAGCTGTGGCTCAAGTAGTAGAGTACTAACCTTGAGCAGAAAGGAAACTCAGGGATGGTGCTTAAGTCCTGAGTTCAAGCCCCAGGACCAGCACAAAACATAAAATTAATGCTATAATTTCCCAGGGTTTTTGTCTATCTCTTAAAACTTTATTATGTAGCACCACAACTTTTCATGCATATGTGTTACTTGGTAAATGTCCTGTGATGAAAACCTCCTATCTATATCAAATTTCTAGCCTGTTACTTCAAACCTATATGATCATGAACAACCTGATTTGAGCATTTTCAATATCACTGGAAAGGCCATCTGCATATGATTTATACAACATTTGGCCCATGTCCAAAGCTGACGAATTGTCTAAAACCAACATCTATATTGGAGGTTCCTATAATACCTTGGAAACATTCTTGTCGCTAAGAATTCAAATTGTATCTAGGTCCTTATTGCTTTCACAACTCTTAGTTGCAGTAAGATTCACAACCATGGGCTGGGAAGGTGGCTCAGTGGTAGAGTGCTTGCCTCGCATGCATGAGGCCCTGGGTTCGATTCCTCAGCACCACATAAACAAAAAAAAGTCAGAAGTGGTGCTGTGGCTCAAGTGGTAAAGGGCTAGCCTTGAGCTGAAGAGCTGAGAGACAGTGTCCAGGCCCAGAGTTCAAGCCCCATGACTGACAAAAAAAAAAGAGTCACAACCATCTACTACATATTACCTGGAAATGCATCAGCTCCCATTATCTTTGAGGGGTGGGGAGGGTGGGCAGCAGGTCTCTACTAAGAATATTTTTATTATATTTATTTTACAATGACTTTAAAAAGCAAATAGACTTGCCAAGTTTTCTTTTGTTTGAATATCAAACTGGAACAATTAATATTTTAAGAATATACGTGTAGTAGCAAAATATTAAAATGATGCCAGGCACCAGTGGCTCATGCCTGTAATCCTAGCTATTCAGGAGACTGAGATCTGAGGTTCAAAGCCAGACCATGCAGGAAAGTCACTGATACTCTTATTTCCAATAAACCACTCAAAAAAGCCAGAAGTAGCACTGTAGCTCAAGTGGAAGAGCTCTAGCCTTGAGCACAAAGAGGCTCAGGGACAGCGCCTAGGCCTTGAGTTCAAGCCACAGGACTGCCCACAATTTTTTAAAAGGAAAAGCATTGAAATGATAGATCAATGAGTTAAGTTGTTTGCTCTGAGCCTTAAGCATACTCTGTGACTGCAGAGTTCTTACTCAACATTGTAGAATTACGACAGCATGTACTAACTTCTCATGTGTCACTGAGGTGATCGATACAAACCAGCTTTCCCTATGTTCTCAGATTCCCGTGAGCCACTTCGGCAGTATTATTTGATATTGATTTAATAATGGGGGGAGGGGAAGTATGAGGGTCATGACCAAAGAAGATGTTACACATAAAATTGGAAAATAGTTTCCATGATTTTGGACTTTGTAAGCCAAACATAACTATTCTACTGCTTTCTCAGCGATGGCTTTCAGGTCACAGCATAGACTCTTTCAACTCAAGGTGAAGATCTCTTAAGGAACTGTAGACTCCCCAGCGGGGAGTGTTGATGGGGTTAAGTGTGTAAAAATTCCCTACAGCTTCCATCTCTTGTTACTTTCACATGATACAATCAAGTGAAAAATATGAGTAAAACTATTTTTCCTCAAAGTTTTTAACTTTGGACAGCTTTACAGAGAGAGAGTTTTGAATTATAGATTACATATCAGAGCGATTACAAAAAGAACCAGCTATTTTACAAAACAAATGGCCTATATCCATAAAATCCTATCACCACTGTTCTAGCAAACCTATTTAATTATGTTAAATTAATCAATTTTATCAAAATCATACCCTTTACCTTTGATTGATAAAACTTGGTGTCAGCATCTTGTAACTTTGCTGGAAGAAACCGTCTTCCAAACAGATTTGCGAGGACCAACACCAGCTTTCGCATAGTATCTTCAGAAAAGCGTTTAGAGCCTACATAAAACAAAGTGCCATCTTATAAACATGAGGAGTATCAGTGTTGAGTGTGTAAGTTATATTGCATTACAGCTCATAGAAACTAAACGCTTGAGATAAACACGGGAACTGAAGCAAAGCTACATTTGCAAATAGTTTCAACTTGCTGCTTTTTATTTATTTATTTTTACTCCAGTTTAGAACCCAGTTATCCCAATCAGGAATTCTCTAATCACTTCACCTCTATTTCTCCAACTTTTCGCTCTCCCAGTATATGATCAGATTTCTTATGACACTGTATTTCAATGGCATGAATTCAATAGATACACACAAACACACAAACACACACACACACACACACACACACACACACACACACACTTTTAGTTTCGCATTAAAGGCTTTTGACTTATCTATCTTGTCTTTCCTTCCTTCCAAGTATACTTATTATCTACATGTTTTCTTCTATTCATGCTCATTATCCACTTGGAACACTTTCTTCTACTCATACTTATGGATATTTAATAGCTTGGTCTCTAGTGTCTAACTACTTGTATTTGAATCTTGGATAGTTTTATTAAAAGTAAAGGACTTCCAGGAGTTGGTGGCTCACATCTGTAATCCTTGCTACTCAGGAGACTGAGATCTGAAGATCGCAGTTCAAAGCCCACTCAGGCAGAAAAGTCCACAAGACTCTTATCTTCAGTTAGCCACTCAAAAACTGGAAGTAGATCAGTGGCTCAAAGTGGTAGATTACTAGCTTTGAGCAGAAAAGCTCAGGACTGTCCTCAGGCCCTGAGTTCAAGCCCCACAACCAAAACTAAAAAAGTAGTGAAGGACCATTTTGTTCACGTGTGAAATAATAATGCTAATCATTGCTATCTACAACACAGTTACTAGACTCAACCACCCACTCATACACTAGCAAACAAAACTATACTTTCTATTTCTTGAAATTAATTCTCCTCTCATAGAGCAAATGATCTTGTGTCATATAACTGAATTTTTAGAGCATAGTGATTAGACCATTTATGCAAACTAGAGTGTTCCTATGAATACATGATAAATATCGTGAAAGGCATTGAATTCACCAAGCATTAGAAAACATATCAACTTTAAGCATAAATATAAGACCCCCTAGGTAAGGATTTAAGAGGGTGTGTGTGTGTGTGTGTGTGTGTGTGTGTGTGTGTGTGTGTGTGTGTGTAAGTCCTGGGGCTTGGGCATGGTCCTTGAGCTTTTGTACTCAAGGCTAGCATTCTCCCACTGCAAGCCATAGCACCATTTCCAGCTTTTTGGTACTTACTTGGAGAAAATAGTCTCACAGATTTTCCTACCAGGGTTGGCTTTGAACAGCAATCCTCAGATCCCAGCTTCCTGATTAAGTAGGATTATAGGTATGAACTATCAATGCCTAGCAGGATTTTAATTTTTAAAATGCATGAAATGGAATTTGTAAATTTACATGGTATAAGTGAAAAAAGAAATTAAAATGTTTAGGAGAACCAGTCTGGGTCACACAACTAATACAATGCTAGTAGTTTAAAGTAAAATATATAATTATATTCTAAGGGAATATGATTATGAGAAAATATTTACAAATAATAATATTTATCTGAATAATTGATTTTACTAATAAAATTTTTAATTTTTTCACCTTTTCTAATATTCTGTGATAAGAATATATTACTTAATTTGAAAAAAATATTTTCTAAAAATTGTATTTTAATCAAATGCTCTCAATCCTGGAGAATAACTATTACTGAAGTTGATACTTTCAAAACAATCACACTTTAAAATAGTTGTTAACAAACTATGTCTCCACAACACTTGTATTACTCTTAAACCTTTTTTACACTAAATTTGAAGATCTGCAAAATATATACATCCTAACTGCATTATATTTTTAGGTGACAACTCTACAACTCTATTGCTATTTTAGTAACATGCATTGATGACTACATAAATGTATATATTATGTATGTATACATATGTATATACATTTATTATATGTGTATACATTTATTATATGTGTACCTGTGTATATATACTTATTATATATATTCATATGAAAATGGCAAGCTTACCTTTCTTAGTTGGCTGACAAAGCTTATGGAAAAGACCATTTACAAGAAAATTGACAAAAACAAGATTAGAAGGTTCGTGATAGTGCAAATGTGATACAAGTCCAGCAAACCCTGTGGGGTTACCATCTCGATCAATATAGCCCTAAAGAACAAAAATAACTTATTAGTTTTATTCAGCTCCCCACAAGATTGACAAATATCATCAGTTTCCTGTTTCAAATAGTACTTAATGACAATATGAGATGGATAACTTATTACCTAGCTCAATTTTGGTATTCCCATTAACTATGAATAATATTGTATATAATCCTGTAAAGACTTGCAATTAGTTTGGCATAGTAAAAAAAATCTAGAAAATTGCAAATGTATTTCTCAAAATCTCTCTCTCTCTCTCTCTCTCTCTCTCTCTCTCTCTCTCACACACACACACACACACACACACACACACACACACACACACCAAACAAGGCATGATTATACCTCTTTCACCAGGAGTTGCAAGGTAAACAAGAAATACAGCTTTAAGATCTCCATAATTTTGGGTTGTTTGAAAGACAGCAGTGAGTGCTTTAGCACTGACAACACCTGGAAGGAAGAACACATTTATTCACACATGTGTTAAAAATGTCTGTATAATATATAACCACTTGTGATAATATACAATAGGTAGTATACGTATCTATTATATCACCCAGATATCAGCAGTACATACAACTCAGCTAGATTTTATAACATTTCTTAATTGTGTTCTTATAATGAACGTTCTTCCTTAAAATTAACAGGGGCATGTAAAACAGAATATTCTGTGAGGAAGTATATTACCAAGCAATCTGTTAATAAAAGCCATTCCAGTTTAAGAGTTTATCAACTTGGTTTGTTTTGGAAGAAAAAGAAGTAAGGTATGTCAATCGATATCTTGCAATATTGTCACAGTACTAATGGAGCTAGGTTGGTTAAAATCAAAGAATTAAGTGCACTTCTTGGTTTCTGGCATCCAAAAGCACTGAAGCTTACACAGCTCTTAACTTCCTATTAAAATATGGATGGAGTCTCAAAGGAAAATTTCATAACTTCCCCCAAGGGCGGGGAGGGGGGGAGATGTTATGGAGGAACCTAAGAAGAATGAGAAGGCCAGGGGACCTGCTGGAGGTAGAGAGGGACAAGAAAAGGGCTATATTCTTCATCTCTTTTACTATGAGATAATATTGATGAAGGGTTAACACACACACACACACACACACACACACACACACACACACACAAAATCACCTTTCCTACCACCTCTTCTTCCTTGTGCATTGAGCTTAGAGTAAATGATGGAAAGAGCAGAGGAATAGGTAAGGAAATGAGGAATGCATGGTGGATGGGTTTGTCCTTTGGGTATATCCCTTAATTAAAGTCTTCCTAAGATGGGTTTTCCACACTGTGACAAAAGAACTGAGAAAAAATAACTTGAGTTATGGTTCCTGAGTTCTGATGTTCTCAATCCAATCCATGATCAGCTGCCTTCGCTGCCTTGGGCCCTGTGCTAGGCACAGCATGGTGGAGCAAAGATGGTTCATCACATAGGGGTCAGAAGCAGTGAGCAATGCTGTGAGCAAGAATGAGGACCCTAGCCCACTTATTGGTATCCCCCCCATTCAGGCAGGTATTCTCCTTAGCCTTTTGGATGGTACCACCCATACCCAAGTCAGGTCTTTCCCTCAATAGCTGCTGCCCATGCCAATCATCTCTCAAGACCTGTTCAGAAGTGTATTTCTCCTCTCCTAGGACTATCTCAATCCAAAGAGATTGTCGATCAAAATTATAAACACCATGGATAGTAAGAATCTGGAAACATCACCCAGTGGATTTCTTGTGTAGTTTATAGTAATCTTCTGGCATCAACGGGTCAGAAAAACTGACTGAAGTAAAAGCTAGTCTTCAGTACAGAAAAGCTATGCCAAATGAAGATTCACAAATGCTGCTATTGGATCAAATCCATTCAATCAGCCTCAGATCTGAGGTATGTGAACAAGATTTAAGTGGACAGAACTTGCCAGAAGATGTATCATACATCCTGTGGTTTAGAAAACCACCATATTTGGATAGAAGTATTTTCATTCACAAGTGAGATTATTTTTAAAATTCAACATAGAATTTATGAATATATTGGAAGCCACAAATGTGCTAATTCAAGTCCTTCTCACATCTCTACAAAAAAAAAAACAATATCAAGGACAGAATTGAGGGTTTTAAGTTTAGTGATATTAGACCCCAAATTCTAGGTGAGCATAAAGTATCACCAAAAGGTTATAGCCATATTCTCATAACTATTTCAGAGTTGGAAAACCAAGATGCATTTATACCATAGAAAAAATAACTGGAAAAAAATCCAAGTAACAACATGTTTGTATGTGACTAGTAATAGAACTAGGTGTGAGTTCTTTTTTTCTTTCTCCAACCTTCATTTCCTAAATATTCTTCAATAAACTCGGGTTACTTTTTCGTGACAAATGTACTTTTACTTGTTACAAAACTGTGTGTAGCCCACATCTTCCCATATCCTTAGCCAGCACCCTTAACTAGAATGAAAAAGTGTCTTCAGTCTCACATGGGACAGTGACCCTGGTGGTTTGCAATGTCTATGCAGCCACTAGCTTGGTATCTGATGATAAATGGGCACAAAATTAAGCGTTATTACCCTCTCCCTCCCACAGGCCTCCCTAGAGCACATTACAAAGTGAGAAAAGGCTGGTAAGGGAAAAGCCTTATTGCACAGACTTCTAAAAAAGAGCAGCGACATCATCGATGATGGCTGTCTCACACCCAGTGCCCAGCACAGTACCTTCGCCTGGCCGTCTTCCTGATCATCTGCCTTGGAAGCCAGCAGCAGGAGTCTCAGGATCAGTGTTATACTGAAAGGGAACTGTCCCCTCAGCTCAGGAACTTTGGATTTTATGAGTTTTTCTACTTTGGGCTGTGGAATATCAAAGAAATATACATTTCCCAATAAGTCTTGACCTCGTCTTCCAGCACGGCCAGACATCTGCAAACAGAAGGGAATCATCATGGAAAATTCCCTTAAGCATTTTTCTGTCCTATCGTAGTATAAAAACAGTGCCATTTACATTGTTTGGGGGCAAATAAATTATGCCTCTATCCAATCCTTCATTAACTGAGTATCCAACTATAGAAGGTTAGGAAACCGAGAAGAAAGCAGGACATTTATCATTGTTAAGTACTTCATGACATTAATGACGCCATGTATTTGAACAACGACATCTAAAGCAAAGATTAACAGAGTAAACCTTGATTCCAAGTCACGTGTAGCTAAGTTTTGCTACAGTATTTTTCCCCTTGCCTTCCCCTGTCCCTCTGCTCCCTTTCTCTCCTGTCTTCTCTCTCCCCTAACATACTGAACTATGAATTACAAAGTAAAGGCTGGGTACAAAATGAGGAGATGAAATTTCATTATGCACCTTGTAAAAGGCAGGTAAAGAAGAGACTCTTCACAGAGCTATAGTACTTCTCATTTATTAGGTGTTTCGAAAGTGCTAAGTCTTCTTTGTTGTTTGTCTACCACAGAACTCAGCATTATCTGAAGTATGCACAATCTCCTATTCACATGGACTCTTTGGGCATGCACAGTGGAAGAAAGTGGCATGCACTCATAATCCCAGAATGGGAGATCTGGTATTCAAACCCTAACATTGTATTTCCATCATCCAGTGCCCCAAATCCAAGACTTCCAAAGATTAGAGGAGAGTTTAAATAGAATAGAGAAGAAATAGAAACTCCAAGAACCTGGGGCTGACAAATTGGTAGAGTTATCAAAACATTCTTTTCATTAGAAAGAAGGCCTTGGTAAGCAGTGAGGTGAATAATCACTATTTTGAGGAGAAAGGAAGGAGGCACTGTGACAAAATTCTGAGTGTTGGGTATGACAGTTTATTTTGATACTGACAGCAGAAACATTAACCAAATGTTCCTAGTCAGGCAAACCCCAAGAAGACAAACTACAGAAAATCAGGGAGAATATTCTAACAGTACAAGGCCAAGACTGAATGAAGACAGATGGTTGATATGGAGATCACAAAGCAAAAACTAAATAACAGAAGAAATGAAAAAAGTGGGCTTGGTAGCAGGCCACGGAGGTATGCATTGTAACCTGTTTACAGATGAATGATTCACAAGTATTTTAGAATGCTATAGATGTACATTATCAATACAATAAACAAGTTTATGCATCTCTCAATACCTGTCTGTAATTTAAAGCATCCAGATAGACCGAATTCTGAGCAAAAACTACAGACTTGCAAGGCATATTGACTCCTAAAGCAAGTGTTCCAGTTGCTGTCACCACCTAGAAAAGAATTAGACAATTACTTTGTGGAATAGCATTTTAATATAGCATAAGCATTTCATAATGTTAACTGGAACATACTTTGGATTGCAATAAAGCCACAGTAGGAAAGCTCAGTAGCTGAGACACACCTCTATTCCTACTTCATGAACACAGCAAGCACATTCTCAAATCAAGACCATTACAATGATTTGCGCCAAGTGTATTTCTTCTAAACACGTTCTGTGTGGCCTCCTCCATTGTCTGTGTAGTCATCACAGAAGAATTTCTCACCACAATAGCTAAAATCATCTTCCTGTACCACCACTGAAGACCTTTCCCTAGTATTAATAACTTCCTTAATAACATTAATTATTTGTTCATTTGGCTTCTTTCCCACTCTAACAACGTTCACCTTTTTATCCTCACCACCAACCATCCACAAGGGAACACTGTACTCACTATAATAAAGAATAGCTTTTTTTCTGCTGATCCTAGGGGCCAGAATGCTGTCCTTGAGCTCTTTTGTTCAAGGTTAGCACTCTACCACTTGAGCCGCAAAGCTACTTCTGGCTTTTTCTGAGTAGTTTATTGGAGATACAAGTTGATTGCCTGGGCTGGCGTTGAACCAGAACCCTCAGATATCAGCCTCCTGAGTAGCTAGGATTATAGGTGTGCGCTGCCAGTGCCCAGCAATAAATACTTTTAAATAATCAGGAAATTTCTCTATAATAGGGCAATACAAATTTACAAACTCATTACTCATTTTGTCTACTAAGTTTCTTTGAATTTATATCCATAGAAATAATGTATCTGAATACTAAGAACAAGGTATCTTACTCCTGGATTTCTACAGTAACTAACAAGGAAGTGAATGAGACAAAGTAAAGTTTATATGATCCAAAGTCTTATTCATTTTTTAAAAAAATATCTCTACTTGTTTTATCTTTCTCTTTATATTGTCATATAAGATCTAGTTAATGTAAATATGCGAAGATATAGAGTAATTTTCTCTATTCTGCAATTGAGTTCTATGCATCTTTCAAATGCAACACATCATCTATTACATGCTTCTCTAAAGTTATAATAAAAAAACTGAGAAAATGAGAATGCTACATTTAGACAAAAACTAGGATAAATAATTCTTATAAAAATAATTCTAGCTGGGAGCCTGTGGCTCATGCCTATAATACTAAATATTCAGTGGCTGAGATCTGAGGCTCACTGTTTGAAGCCAGCTCAGGCCAGAAAAGTCTGTGAGACTCTTAACTCCAATTAATCAGCAAAAAAAAAAAAGAAGCCAGAAGTGGAGCTATGGCAAAAAGTGGTAGAGTGCTAGCCTTGAGCAAAAAAGCTCAGAGACAGCTCCCAGGCCCTGAGGTCAAGCCCCAGTACCAGCACACACACACACACACATACACACACACACACACACACACACACACACACACACAAGTAATTTTAACAAAGACATCAACGTTTCATAATCTCTTCAAAATAATGTAGTCATTTAATCATTAAATTATCAGTAATTGTGGTTTTAGACACAGGATAGGCTGATCAAAACAGGTGGCTCATTTTCCCCTCAATTCATAATCATGTAGAAAATCGTGTCTATGATTATGAACCTTTAAAATAAATAAATACATTTTATTAGTTAAGAGAAAAGCTAAGAAAAGTTAGTATATTTTGAGTTTTTCCAGAAAACAGAATTTCCCTTTTAACTGTCATGTCCAATATTTTGAGTAACATGTCATTGTTTTTTTTGTGATAGGAAGATATTGAATGATATACCAGACTATCCTTCTTTCCCTCTATTTTCTCTCTTTCAGACATACCGAGAGTTATAATATATGCCATATCCAATTTAAGATGGATAAATTTTAGAAGTCTGACTCTGTTTTAGAATATCACTCCAGATTCAAGGTCACTGGGAAATTATCTAAACCTTCCTCAGGGATGCCCACAGGATTCACTATGCAAAGCATAGCAAGGGTTCATTTGAAATGTTACAATTAATCTTTCTCTTGTCCATTTACCAGCGACAGGTGGGACTGGGCTTCGGAGAGACACATGCAAAAACTGTGCTGAGACCAGCGGCAGATGCCAAGCGAGCATGTGCTCTTGATCTCATTTCAGTTATTCTATTAGGATCAGATCTGACCAAAACTCTACTACAAATATCCTCCATGCATGTGAAAAAAAATCTGTATTCAAAATCAAATAAACAGTAGACCAAGATTATAAATAAAATACCAAGGGGTGAGGGTCAAATTCACCAGAGGCATATTTCACTCTGGAAACATTTGGAAAAGTGTCTGCTTGAGAAATATTTTTTCTTCTTAATTAAAAAAGGACAAACTGAATGATCCCCCTCCCCCATTTAAATGACACAGGTGCAATCACATCACAGTCACATTATTTTTGTGACCCAAACAGCAATAAAAATTATAACATAATACAGAACATGGACTTCATGGACATGCATAATTTCCATTTGGAGTGAAAAAAATAATCATTTACCTACCCTAATAAACCCTTTCCTAAAGAGGATTTCCACCAACTGTTTTTCTTTGGCACTCATGGCACTATAATGGTAGCCAACACCCCTTCTTGCCAGAGCTTTCAATTGGTCACCTTTTCTTTCAAATTTTACTCGTTTAAACACCATCTGCAAATACTAAAAAAGAGGCAGGAAGGTTAAGGTGTCTTGATTAGTTCTTACCTATTTTTAACTTAAATGAAAATTATTTAAAGTTCATATTTCCACATAACGGTCTTGTACATCCCATTGTTGCAATGGGTCCACCTGTATGGGGCGGGGAGGGGAGGGAGATGGGAAGGGATGGGAAGGGAAAACAAAGGAGGAGGCAACAATGCCAACTCCAGAATTTGGCTAAATGAGGCCATGGTTAGAACTGAACTCTACTTAAACAGGAGAGGAATTTAAGATAACAACAGTTAAGTACAAGAAATATTTTCTAAATTGATGTTAGACAAAATGAACCCCAAGATAAGGACTGAAATGGTTTTTCTTTCATGCAATTGTTTCCAACATATTTATAAGATGATTTCTTTGTTGCTTTGAATGTCCCTCCCCCACGGTATAACACCTGTTTTCACTTTATTTGATGTTGGTATAATTTGTGGAGGGGAAGGGAAAAAACAAATCTTTTAAATAGGGATACAGGTGGACCCATTGCAACAATGAGATGTACAAGTCATTATGTTGAAAAATGAACTTTACAACTTTGGCAGGAAGAGTGGGGGGTGAGGGCTGGGTAAGGGGGGTGGGAGATGGGAAGGGATGGGAAGGGGAAACAAAGGAGGAGGCTACAATGCTTGATAAGAAATGTACTCAATACCTTGCCCATGTAATTGTAACCCCCTTTATGGTATTTTCACAATAAAAAAGAAAAAAAGAAATATTTTCTCAGTGCTTTGAGTGAATGTCTTGATCTCACCCCACTTCTGGAGTGGAAAGCTCTGACTGAGCAGTAGATAAACCAGCCAGTGGAAGTAGAAGTGGAAACAGGCTTGGAGGGGGGGGGGGAGAGGGGCGGGACACCCAGGGGGAGACACCCTGGCTTGTGAATGACTTGGTCATTGGAGAACAGTTCTCATCAAGTGCTGACCTCAGAGTCGATCACTTTATAATCAGCGTATGTGCAGTCCTGAGGCATTTTCAGGTTCTCCTCTAGACTTTGCAATAGATGATTATATTGGGCTTCATGGTACAGGCTTTGATCCAGTTTTCTGGTCTTTCGCTGTTTTTTTCCTTCTCTTTACAAAAAGAAAATGATAAGAAATGGGTATTCAGTGACAACAGGTTTAATACCATAGGGAAAAGAACATACAAAAGAAACAAAAAAAAATACGTAGTACATTAAAAACAGCAGCAACAAAGGAAAAACACCTCTTGAGTCCATATCTTGGGGTTCATTTCACTTAGCATCATCTTATATGGTCAAATGTACATAGCTTTTGACCTTCTCTGTTTCACCGTATTTGCTTCTGGTGCCCTGCATCTTGTATATACATTGTTCTAATTTGGGGAGGGGAAGGGAAATAACAAAATGCTGAAATAAGGATACAGGATGACCCATTGTAACAATGAGATGTACAAGACACTATGTTGAAAATGAACTTTACAATTTGGGGGTGGGGTAGGGAGGAGTTGGGGAGGGAAGGGATGGTAGGGGAAAAACAAAGGAGGAGGTAACAATGCTCGATAGGAAATATATTCATTACCTTACTCATGTAACTGTAACCCCTCTGTACAGTATCTTTACAATAAAAACTATTTTAAAAAAGAAATGGGTGTTCATACTTAGTCACTGCAAGAAGCAGGAGATAAGGTTCATAGTTGCAACTCCTCCTGATGCACAAGGCCTAAGGCAGAGTCCCCAGTATTGTTGCTATAATTGCAGTGTTGGATAAGATGTTAAAACACCCTGCATCTGTATGGCTTGCATTGTTAGGGATTTAATCCTGCTTGATCTGTGGTTCTTAAGAGCCCTGTGGAAAATGTGTCTAAGGAAAGCTTGTACCAGCTACCTTGCCTCCATCTGCATTTATCTCCTTGCATGCTACAAAGGGAACAGCAAAGCAAGGGTTGTCATGGCTCTGCATAGTCCTCATTCATTACCCTCCGTCTGCATTCATCACCCCTCACGCTGCAAAGGGGACTGCAAAGCCAACAGTAAATGCAAGCAGAAGTCTGGACAGCCATCTAGAATTTGAAATATCTTAAACAGAGATGCCCTAAAATCGTGTTGCAATTTGAAAGGAACTATTGGTTCTTCACTGAGAAAATTGGTTCTAGAACAATGTACTATGTATTTCTTGGTAATGTACTAAGCATTAGCAATATAGAAAAGAAAGTATATGGTTCATTCTTGTAAAAAAAAAAAGCTTCAATTTCAGGAAAAAGAAATATTGATTTACTGTCCTTTTTCTAAAATGTGTGGTATATAATTATTTTTCAGATGTTGGAATATTTGCTTATAGATATTAAGATGTCTTGGGGACCTAACCCAAGTATGAAAGCATAATTTGTTTCGTTTCATCCTAAATACAGAATGTAAAGGTATATAGGACTTTTATTAATTTTTGTTTAATGAGGTGGAATGTTCCACTTGTAGCACCACTTAGTCACTCAAAAGATCTAGATTATAGATAATTTTGGATTTTCAGATAAGGAATACCCACATAAACAAACAAGAACGGAATTACTTTATAATGATTGTTTCCTTAACCTGTGTGTCAAAGCACAAGACAAAGGGTTGATATATCTAAGTTGGGAGACCAGACAAGATAGAGAGAAGAGACAGCAAAACTCTCCAGTACATACTATGGGAGCAATCGTGACGGAGCCAGGATGGAACAGCAAGAGGTCAGTTCATAGGAGAGCAACCCAGAAGAGCAGAATCACAAATTTTGAGTGTCACTTGGGAAGTGTGGTAAGATGTGAGACTGAAAAGATGAAGACAAACACAAAGACTTGTTGGCATACCACAAGTCAGAGTTACTAAGCCAGGAAGAAGGAGGAGTCTTGCTGAGGGAATGATGTAATTGAAAGGGCTGCAGGAACACTGATTGGCTAGATCAGAGACTGGTTAACCTTCAACACTCTGAACTGCAAAAATGAAGATTGCTGCAACTACATGGGGAAGATCTGTGGAATAGCTAAGCGGGGTGGCAGCTACTGATAGAGAGGGCCACAGAGAAGGAACAAACGTGGGCTTTTGAGTTGACAGACTTAGACACTGGGTTAGACACAGAGAGCAGATACAGGAACCACACTACCAAAGAGTTTCTAAACACAAATCCAACCCCAAGCTCATTCTATGACTTACACTGTGATACTCTTTGTGGACACAACAACGTGTCTATTCAATGCTTAAAGTCTTGTGAGGGCTGAGTGAGAAGAATTCACACACAGATCACCATTACAGTTATTCTGTAAGATGACTGTGTCAGTTGTTTAATCTACCTAAGGGTTGTGTATGTACCATTATCAATCTTAAATAAGACTGAGCAAACACCCAAGGAATAGGTGATTATAGTCACTTGTCTGTATCCTATTCTCTCTCAAATTGGCAAATAGATCTGAGCACTGATCCATGTCTTATTATTTTATTTATTTATTTATGTCTTATTTTTTTTTTGCACTGTGTTTTCCATGGGGACATGTGAAATAAGTCAGCCCTTTGATGACATTTTGCTTAGCAACATACTTACACTATCTTTTGTTTCTCCATAGATTTTTTAAACTTTTGAAGTTTGCTAACCATGACATGAATTTCTTTATCAGCTTTGGGGGGTCGTTTTTCCTCCTCCTTTTTCTCCAGGGATTTGCCCACACTTACAGCACACATTTCTACGCTTGTCAAATTGAATCTGGAAATAAATAAAGTGAACATTTGTCATGAAGTTAATGGCATCGATGAAATTCAGTATTTCTACCTACTGCTCCTATTCTGACTTCCTGTTGGCTTTTTAAAGCCCATCCTTAGGAATTTCATCCTGAAGAGATCTCCATAGTCCTGATTACTTTACTGTAAAATGGTAAGTTTCCCTCATCCCAGTCCTCTGTCCTAAGAACTCTGCATTAAGAACTACAGTGTTGGACAAGCGTGGCTCATACCTATAATCCTACCTATTCAAGAAGCTGAGATCTGAGGATTGCAGTTCAAAGCCAACTGAGACAGAAGTAACACCATTGATAGAAACAAAACTGGGATTCAAGTTTGGGTCCAGCCATGAAGTATATGCCCTTCGGCACACGAATACTAAATGAACATGGGGACCTATTTTTCTCAAATGCCAGGTCATATAAGCTGATGGGTACAATACTGTCTGCAAAGTATCTCTGGAGCCCAGACAAATCCTCAGACCTCCCAAGGATCTAGGGCAACTTAAGACTGTGTCAAGCTACATAGACCAAGGATTTTCAGAATTCATAGAGAAGAGCACCCAAGATTCAATATCATTTAACTCTCAAATAGAATCCATCTTTTATGGTTTTGTTGAGTACTTTCTTTTTGAGAGGTTTATTTATATAATGTGTAATATAAAAATAATGTATTCAAAATATAGCATACATAATGTCATGTAAATGTACACACTTTAAGTAGTTAGGCAAAGGAGTTGCCATTCAATAAAGCAGTTTATGAATGCAGTACATCTTGATCAGTGTTACCCCTTCCATCAAAATGTACATATTCATCAAAATGTATATATTTTAAACATAGTATTGTAGAGTCCAGCTATGCTACTCTGTCATAGTCTTGTTAAGGGTACTTGAAAAGCAGCAGGTACAAGATTACTCTGACATGTCCTTTTTCTTAAGAGTAGATCAATGCCCACATGATATCTTCTCTTATACTACAAGAGAATCACTTTTTTAATCAAGGATAATAAGCTAAGACTGAGTGAAATCCATGTAAACCTTGATAAACTAACTCTTACCTTCCTAGTCACTTCTCTACCCAGTTAACTGACCTCACCAAGACCCTTTGCTGTTATATTAACAGCAAAGAGCTCTTTGTCCAATTCATAATTAAATGTTAACTTTTGTGTGTGTGTATGAGTGTATATGTGTGTATGTGTGTGCATGTGTGTGCGTGTGTGCCCACACTGGTACTATGGCTTTAACTCAAGGCTTTGTGTTTTCACTTGGCTTTTTCACTCAAAACTGGGGCTCCATCATTTAAGTCACACTTCCACTTTCAGCTTTTGCTGCTTACTTGGATGTAAGAGTCTCAGAGACTTCTGTGTCCAGGCTTGTGTTGAGCCTCAATCCCCAAATCCCAGCCTCCTGAGTAGCTAGAATTACAAGCACGAGCCATCAGTGTATGGCTAAATTTTAACTGAACTCTGGGTCTTCATTTCCTATGAAGCTGCCTTTCTATATAGTTTATTTTATATTAACTTTTCTCCTCTTATTCTTTCTTATGTCAACTTAATTCTCAGACCTAACCAAAAACTCCCCTGAAACAAAGGAAAAAAATTACTTGTTTTCCACATGTATAGGTACATGAATAACCAATAGTTATTTGTGGATTTCTATTTTGTAGTTAAGCTTCCAGAAGTAGCCTGGATTCCCAAAATGGTTTGTGTGTGTAATATCTGTAGCCATGCTGGAATGTGAAGTAGATGAGCTATACAAATTCTTCATGGGACAGAAATTTTCCTTGCCCCAATACCAGAAATAAAAGGAGCAATTGATTGAAAGCTCCATTTCCAAACATGAACTTACATTCATCTAGCATCCTTATTTTGACTATATGCATCATTAGTGAAAAATCATTACTATCTATCTGTTTACATCTGGACACATTTCACTAAACTTTACCACCTGAGCAAGATTCTGCGACTCTCTTCATATAAAGTATACTATGAAATTGTCTACAGTGAACCTATCACTATGTTTTCAATGTTGAACTTGGATATAGTGTGTCATTCAATAAATAAATTATACTCTGGTGTTATTTTATCAAGTTGAACCAACTGAATGGTGTTTTCAATTTTAAGCTACTTTGTATTGTAACATATAAAATTTAACAAGTTAGCAGAGCCCCTGGGTCATAGCTCATATCTCATAAACTAAAAATACTAAAACCTTGGCAATAAATACTCTAGTATATTTAATTTAATAGTCTAGTATATAAATACTCTGGTATACAGGATAGTTTTGTGTATAAACATTCACTCTGCAAAGAAACCAACTATGTACCGAAATAAGACTTAAAGCTAATAACTACAATAAAAACAACAAAATAAAGAATATAATTCTGAAAACATTGTATCAGAATCAACTAGAAATGTTTATTTTCAAAAACTAAGAATACTCATTTAAATAACAGGTGAACATGAGAAATAGAAATAGATACCCGATTACAATAAAGTCTGTATAGCTTGCCCCATCTTAAAAGAATAAGTCTTATCAAGTGCTAGTAACTAACAACTATAATTCTACCTACTCAGGAGACAGAGATTGGAAGGGTCAAGGTCAGCAGAAACATAGTAATTCATGCCTGTCACCTCAGCTACACATTACGTTGATAATCGAAGGATATCTATGCAGAAAAAGCCCTAGCAAAAATATTCTGGAGAGCCTATCTCAATAGAAAATGACATAGTGAGTCACATTCATCAGGCCAGCTACAGCGGGAAGTGTAAATAGGATCATTGTCCAGGGCAGCCCCCACAAAATGTGAGAGCCTATCTCAAAAGTAACCAGAGCATAAAGGTCTGGAGGTGTGGCTCAAATGATAAATGCCTGTCTAGCAATTACAAAGCCCAAAGTCAAACCCCAGTACCGCTAAAAAAGAAGAGGAATATAATGCATGTCACATTGCAATGTTAAAAATTAAGTTAAACAGCTTACATAAAAAAGATTGCAGGTAGCTGGTTCATTTCATTTAGCTTCTCCACGAGAAGTGGAAACTTTTTCAACAAATTTCCAGAGCGAAACTCTGAATGAGGGTTAAGATGCTTCAGCACCTTTTTAACCTGTAACAATGAATAAAATATTTTACATTGAGTTCTCCATAGCAAAGAAAGAGGTACTGCTTCCAGATAAAATACTTCCACAGTTACGTATTACATGCATCTATGGATCTTTTAAAAAATCGTATTTTTATACAACTAGAACATATTCTAGTTAATACACTTGATATATACACACTTACACATGCAAATGGAATATGTTTCTTTTAAGATCACTCAGAGCCATCAGAAAGAGATAAAGTGTTCAGTAATTGAAGATGTTTGATTCTACTATGGGTAGAAGGGAAAAAAGAACTAGTTTCTATGTCATTTCCAAATACATTTTAAAAGTTTCCAATAACCCTTTTTTAGGTAAGTTAAACCAAGTATCAGTGGCTCACACCTGTAATCTTAGCTATTCAGGAGGCTGAGATCTAGAGACTCAAGATTCAAAGACAGTTTTGGCAGAAAAAGTCTGAAAACTTTCCAAAAATAACTAGTTCAGCTATGCTGAAGGCATGGCTCAAGTGATAAAATGTCAACCCTCAGGGAACAAGCCAAGGAGTACAAGGACCTAAGGTAGTTTTCTACATGGGATGAGACCAAATAAAAGTGTAATTATACTCATCACTGAACCCTGGACAACTACTTAAAATAATAAACAACTATACACAAATAAGTAATAGAACTGAACAAAAGAAAAATAATAAAATATGATAGGTTAAAAAATATGACATGAGAAAACTCCTATAGGTCATTCCTAAAAAAAAAATCAGCAATATCAATTCTTGACACTAATTACTATCAGTAGATGATATTCTAAGTTAGGTATCTGATCTGACTCAAACTTCTTTGTGGCAATAATAAAGTCCACACACCAGGAAATTCTCTAAGCAAACAGAATGTTAGAGGGGAAGCAACTAGTTGGGGAAAGAGTGGACCACGATGTCAAAGGTAAGTACAAAGTGCTGCAAGGGCCAGAAAGCACATACCCACCACAACAGAACAAAGGAGAGGAAAACAAGGGAGACGGAACAAGGGAGAAGAGGGTGGAGACAACCCAAACTGGCTGCTCAAATTCAACCAATCCCAAGAGGTGCATATGTTAAAAATTACCTAATAGACAATATTTAAATCTGGCCACATACAAGAGTATTATCAAACCCCCACTACTCAGCTAATGAGAAATCAGGGAGGCGCCTACACATTTAGGAGTATAAAATGCTTGCCGTAGTTCCTAGGGTGTCTCTAGCCAACAGAGAGCTTATCTTGGAGGACTTTCATTAAGTAGGAAAGCTTGCTTTCATCATATGTTTCTCATATGAAGCAAACAACAAATATAAAAAGTATCAACCTACAATAAATGTGTTTAATGTGATTCTCAGATGTTTTAAGACATAAACAATTCCTATAATTTGAAATAAAAATGAAAGAAACTCCAAGACTAAAATAGATCCAAATCCCTTGACAGGTATTAATCAATCCAGTCTCTCTGTGGCAAGGTAACAACTCTGCCATTTGCCTAATGCCTGAACCCTCTGTGTGGGTTGCTAAACCAGCCAGTAGGAACCAGTAGCCCCTGGTCCATGTCAATGACCCATTTCCTTTCTCTCTTCTTATTCTATCTCAGGATTACCAAACTTCATGTTCAACTTAAAACTCTAAAATGAACACTAAGAAAATTGGAGGAAGCTGATATTAATGGGTACAACTCAAGATTATAGAGTGCTTTGTCAAAATCATATGTGAAAATTACCTGCTTTATATTGCCATCTTTAACCCAACTTGTTAATTCTGACTTTAAGCTCTCTTCATATTTTCTAGCGTCTGACTTTTTAATGACCACTTTATTCTTAAAGTGAATGAAGTTCTCTGGACACAGAGTCTGGGAAAACAAATATCATAAAGTTATATGAAAGCATGCCAAAATCCAAAGATACTTAATTATACTTCTCATGCACATTATTACAAACTCTTCAGGTTAGAGATGGTCAAACTCCATTTTATATTTCCAGTAAGCATACACTCTTGAAAAAAATGCAAAAAAGAATAGAGTGCCACCAAGTTAAAGAGAAAATAAACAGCAATTAGAACATAAAGAAAGCAAGAGACAACAGAGGACTACAGATAGCATGTGAAAGAGAAGACAAAAAATATTCTACCAGAAGATGAAAGACGAAATATTTTCTAAAATTTAAATAAAATACCATTTACATAAAATATCCATTAAAAAAAAAGAATATATGGGAAGAGATCATAAAGTGATAACTTTAAAGATCAGATGCAAGTGATAAGAAAAGGTGAGCATTTCTTTCATTTTAAAAAATACATTATTGTAAAGGTGATATATAGAGTTGCATAAATCAGATAATGAGTATATTTCTCTTCCAGTTTTTCCTCTCCTAACCCTCCTCACCCCCAAGTTTATTTTTTTCAGATCATTTTTAATTAAGTTTTTTGTTGTGAAAATACTGTACAAAGGGGTTACAGTTTCATGAACAGGGTAATGAGTACATTTCTTACCCAGCATTGTTGCCTTCTCCCTTGTTTTACCCCTACCATCCCCTCCCACCTCCTCAGCTATATCCTCCACGTTCTCCACCCCCATGTCTAAATTGTAAAGTTGGTTTTTTGACATAGAGTCCTGTACATCTCGTTGTTGCAATGGGTCAACCTGTATCCCTATTTAAACAATTTGATTTTTCCCTTCCCCTCCACAAACTATACCGACATCAAATGCAGTGAAAACAAGGGTTGTACCGTGGGGGAGGGACATACAAAGCAACAGAGAAATCATCTTATAAATATGTTAGAAACAATAGCAAGAAAGAAAAAAATTTGAATCCTTAT